TATGTGTACCTCTTCTATAGATAAATATGTCTGCTAGTGTAAGACTACTGTGGGATGTAAGAGATTTAATAGACCTGGGAAATCTTTATATAAGTGGTGCATATGTCGTTGCTTTAAATATCACTGTAAACTGTAAATTTAGGGTAAAGTGTTGTTATGGTGATCTGAGTTGCACTGGTGGGGAGTAGATTTCTGTCCCAGGCAGGGCTGGAGTGGCCACAGGGAGCACTAGTTTATTTCTTGGTGACCTGAGGTTTGTTTCGACCTGCCGAGAAACTTCAGTCAGCAAATAGTTTACAGATCGCCCAGAATCCATCCAGGCCAACACATGAGCTAAAACACAAAATAAGGAGTAATCATCTGCACAAACAGAGCAGCCTGGGATGATGTCCTGGCCTGTGTCAATCAGGCGCCTGGAAAAAAAGAAGGAGGACATGACGATTCTCACTCTCGTAGTGGAAAAATCAGAAATTTCTGAACATATTTGAGCCGCAGCCAAAATCTTGGAAAAAAAAAATTGCAACTGGTTCTTGTGATACAACCTGATAAAAGGTGAAGAAATCAGAAAAACCGGCATCATTGTTCCTCTGGGAAAGATTTGAATGTCTGTAACAAATCTTGTGCTGAAGCATCACAGAGACGGTGGCATTCAAATCAAAGCATGGCTAAAAAGGGAGAGCTGTCTATATACTGCATATTTGTGCTTCGTCCCTCCACAGCATTATTATACAACAGTTTTCTTTTCACAGATGCCAGTCTGGACTCTTATACCGGACAGTCAGGATGCGATCTGTGCATCCCAGTTCAGGGTCTCATGAGGATACTACCTTGTCTACTTCAAAAGCCCCTTCAGTGCTTTTGTCCACATTTATCACAGCTGCTGTATAATTGTGCTCTCCTCAGTGTCTGTTATACTGGAGACTGTTGTTAGTGTGGCAGCCAGGTGATGGTCAGCTGTAACCGAAACCAAAACACATATCAGGTTTAGTAAAAGCTGCAATAAATAAAAAAAATAAAAATAAAAATCTTTAACCCTTTGCTGTCACAGATGTGCAACATCCTGTTTGGGATCGGTGAGCAATATTTTTATTTTGACAGGAGCTCGATTGTCTCCAAATGCTTTCAGCCTTGAAGCAGTGACAGCAAAGTGGACAGTATTCATACCTCAGTCTGTTCCCCACCTCACCCACACACTCAGAGATGTACAGGCAGAGCAGAGCCAGTGTTTCCGGGACTTTTATCCTTCGCGTGGGTTTATCTGTTAAATCACGCCACCTGCCGCATGTTTCAGTCATCAGCAGCTTTTAGTGGAGACAACAGAAAGCTTCAATCACTGCTTCTGTGCTTACGGTCAATAAGTTCTATGTGAATTTTAGGGCTACAGCGACACCCAGTGGTCATTAAAAATGTTACTGTGGGTCAGTGTCTGCTCCTATGTGTGCTCCACTGAACGACAAACTGCTGCTCATTTCATTCAGTCACAGTTCAGACTACAGATGTTTTTTAGGTCCACATTTAAAGAAAATATAAACTGGCACAAAAACGATCCACATTTGAACTGACAGAATGTCACCGTACCTGACTGTGCTGTTCAGAAACTATTAGTGTACAGAAAATGAGAAAAGGAGTATTTTTTGGTCTGAGACTACTCGAGGGTAATTAGTATAAAACGCTATCTTATCTGCATATTTTCTCATTCTAAGTAAGCTGCATTGTAAATAAACTCTTTAACTTTTGTTCAGGACTCCTGCATTTGAGCCCCTTTTCATTCATCTGACTACAAATTCAGATATGGTTAGTATACTGCCCAACGGCAGAAGGTTGTGAATTTCTGTACAACATGTTTAAGCACAAGACAGAGAAGTGTAATTGTCGCTTAATACAACACACAGGGTATAGCAGAACCTTACTGGAAAATGTTCATTTGTGAAAAAGCAAAGGGCAAAATGCAAGTGTAACCTATAATGCAAATGTTACTGTAAAATGTAAATATAAGTTATATTTTACACTTCACTTACATTTACACTGTAAAATGTAAGTGAAGTGTAAAATTTAACTGTAACTTGCATTTTACATTTTGTTTACTTTTACA